AAAGGAGAAAACTTAGGAAAACATTTTCACTTAAAAATTGCTTTTTCCCACCCTTTATGACTCAATAATTGTAATTCCTTGCTGAACCAGAAACATGCTGAGAAAAAAGTTTTGACTGTGTTCTATTTTAGGATTTCCTTCCACAGCAAGAAAGAGGGAGTGATAAAAACCCCTTGAACTTCAATAAACATCTCTGAGGGAAAGTTCAAATCTGTTCTCATTGTTTGCTGACCTGGTGCCTATAATGCCTGTTTTTAGTTTCATGCTAAAAAAAAAAAGAAAAAAAAAATCCTTGTTTTTAATTAAAAAAAAAAAAAAGGCAACGTTAGAAATAAACAGATTTGTTGCCATGAGCAAAGTTTGTCCTGCAAGGCAGCACATCACACAGAACTCTTGAACTTCCTCCTGGAATGAAACCACTTTTTAAACTGTGCCTTTAATGAATATATATTCAGGCAAGCTCATTAATGGCAGTGGCATCTATTTGTGACCATTCCTGAGCTCTTTGGTGTCTGCTCGAGAACAAACGAGGTACCCAATAAAGGCACCCCTTTACTGGGAATTAACTGACCCCCTTCCCTCCAGACCTGGCACCACCTGTGCTGCTCCTGCTCCGAGAACACATGGAAAACTTCCCTTTGCACTGTGGCTATCCTGGAATCTTTCATTCGGCTCCTCACAGGGCAAGAGGAATACATGTGTGGGCTGTGGTTGTGCATTTTCTCCCGTGTTATCTCTCTAGTTTATGCTTCATCCCCTGCCATGGCCAACAAACACCCTTTGAAGTTCCTCAGCACGCCAGTGGAAAGTTCATTTGGAGTCTTGCTGAAGGGGGAACACAGAGTTTGAGAAGCTCCTGCTACAGCCAGGAGGAAGCATCACTTTGGGAGGGACAGATGTTCCGAAGCAGCAACGGCCCCGCAGGGACCCCCGATTCGAGTCCCTGGGTGCTACAGACACCAAATATAGCCCAGCTCCCAGGAATACTGAATAAGCTGTAAAGAATGGAACTATAAAACCATGACCCAAAGCGAGAAAAGGGAAAGGATGAAAGGCCAGGATGTTGTCCTTACCCCCAGAAGTCACACTGCAGCCCAGCACTCGGGTCAGCTGTGTTAACATCCATTTCTCGAGTGCTGTAACTGTTTCCACTCCCCTTAACCCTCGAAGCGTCTCCCCCTCCCCACACTCTACATCACATCATATGACTAATGAGTTTGACCCTTCTCCAACCCCTATCTGCAGTCTCTCATGGCTCCAGCACCGTTTGCTTCCTGCCTTTATTAAATCAGATGGGCTGTGTGTGCTCCGGGTCCCAGAGCCAGAGGAACACGGAGAGACAGGGAATTAAGGGCCATCCTCTCCCAGCCTCCAGGGCTCTGTGTCTTCTATTTCCTCACTATGTTGCCTCATGAATGTGCCATTCCATCATTTTTTTCTCACTCTCCTGATGAAATCACTCCTTCCTCCCACTAGAAGGAGGAGGAGAGGAATGCAGGCCTTTTCTCGGTGTCGCTCTGCACTGCAGGGCTGCACTGTGGGCTTTCCAACGTATTTATTTTTGCAGTGCCTTACTTTAACACCTAGGGATCAGGAAGGAATCCCTACCTGTTAATCCCTTTAATAAGGGTGATTCCCTCAGCTTCTGTCCATTTTCCCACTCCTTATTTCTCTCTTCCCTTCTCCTCCATTTTCCCGCACCTTTCACCTTTTTATTCCTTCTCCCTCCCTAACCCTCCAACAATTTGCCCCTCTCTTAACATCAGTTACCCATTTCTTAAAGGCAGGCCATTACCAAACCCCTGGAGTACTTTTATTCTGACTTTTGGGGACCTGATTTGCCTTTTGTCACTGTGTTGGGACAGTTGGATCATTCTGCTTTCTCACCTGTGTTTGGATGGGACTAAGAAGGTTGGGAGACAAATTCAAGCTAAACACTTCTCTTGGAAACTACTACTTCTTTCAAACAGAAAGATTCAGCAGGGATGGGTTAGTCTACCTTGCTTGTGAGTTTTGAGATCTGTTTGAGCCTTGGCTGGGACTTTGGCAGACACAAGGGCCTGAATATTTCACAACAGGAACCCCAGTCCCTTGGACTGTCCCTGACAATGGTCCCAACACCTCTCAGTGATAAATTTCAAAATGTGGGTATTTCATTGCTAATCTGAACAAAACCAAACATAAAAATATCAACACCCTTTGCAAATGCTCAGTTCTTTCTGCACAGCTCCAACAGGGGCAGCCCAGCGCTGAGAACACCCCTGGTGTTACAGCCCCAGGCCCTTACCTGAGGACAGCACTGGCCTCTCACCAGCTAAACATTCACCAGTGAGAGATTTGTGTCACCCATTATAGTCAGAGGGACTTGCAAGGAGGTCCTGGAATTGAATTCCACACTTTCCAGGGTGGCGGATGTATAAATGCTGCATGTCAGATCAATAAATGATTACTAGCTCTGTTAACAAGTGGCTAATGTCTTGTTACAGACTTTTACAGAGTCCAGTTGGTCAATAGGTTGCATTTAACCATGACTTATGATCACCTGTATCACATAATAACCATGCCTGTAATATGCTTACACAGTCTATTCATCATGCATTAACCCTTTTAAATTTATTTATGAATATACTCTTACTCTAATGTTTCACCAAATGGAGTAATAACAACTGGCCAAAGAAGAAGAGCTGGGCTTTTTGCAGCCACGTTTCACCTGCCCCAAGGAACAGATCCTGAATCACAGGCTCAGTTCAAACCCGCTCCCGGAGATTAGATCTGAAGCATTAGTTCGGGCTAAAAGGATTCAGAGACTCCCCAAATTTAGTCAGAGGGAACAGGATCAGCCACCTCAGGGGTGGACAACAGAGGAAGAAAAACACCAAGATGGCCAGAGGAGCTGTGGTTGCCCCATTCCTGGCAGTGCTCTAGGTCAGGTTGGGTGGGGCTCTGAACAACCCCGTCTAGTGGAAGGTGCTCTCCCTGATTCTCAGGTAATTTAGATTCATAGATAAGTCAGGCCCACAAGAGAGTTACTGTTGTGCTATAGTAAATTCCATGGTATCTTTTGCTAAATTTTTTCAATTAGGCTCAAGTCCTGTTATAACCTTCAGGCCTAAACCACTGGTCAAGTCCTGGGCTAAGTTTGGCAAGAGGGGTCTGTTCTGAACCTTGTGGCTCAACGGGAGGCTCTCCCTTACTCCCTTTTATCCTTACTCTTTATACCCTGACCCTTTTCCATACCCAGCCTCCATGTAGAAAATTTTAGGTTGATTTTAGATTTTAGGTTTGGGTTGATTTTTAGTTTCAGACTGATTGATTTAAATTTTAGTCTGATTTCTCTCTCTGTGTGTTTCAACCGCCTAGAAAGCAGTAGAGTGAACTTTGACAAGGAACCTTTTGATGCTTTCATTTACTACTAAAACCTGCTTTTGCCCATACCTTTGCTGGTGATTTTTTTGAGTGACATAAAACACTCCTTTGTGGCAAAACTGGTGATGCACCTGTGGCAGTGCAGAGAAACAGAGACCTCCCCTGGACTGTCACCTTATTGATGAAGCCTTTTGAATACAAAACACATCTTTGTTTTAAGAGCTCCACCTTCTACCTGCTGACTCCCTGTTACACCTCTAAGGGATCCTGGACTGCTCCATCCCAGAAATGTATTTTCACAGACAGAACAGACCAGGTTCAAAGCCTCAATAAACACCAATTTATATTAAAATTAGGGCCCTCCACACCCTCCAGACAGCAAAGCCATTAAAACACAAGACTCAATATCTGCTTTCTCCCCTTCATATCACCAGACTGGTGAGTGTACCAGCTATTGTACACGTAATTGTGAGGAGTGTTAAGTTTTGCCTATCATCTTAAAAATCAAGCAGTTAAAGGGTATTTCAGAAATACTTAATGGGATTTTCCCACCAGTAAACCCTTGTGCTCAGTGGTACATTTTAATAACAGCAGAATCAAAATCTCATTTATGGACTAAGAAGGTTGTTCTGAGGGTAACATTCGGGGGAGGCTTTGCCAGAGAAAACAGAAGACTTAATAAGAGAAGGGCTCAAGAGTATTAGTCAGAAAAGTTGTGAGCTGCCTACAGGCTTTTTCTCTTCTGGTATCAGAGGGGAAGAAAAGCCCCTGTGGTTGATTCATTATGCCATTTCATTTCTTCATATATAATTTACATGCAATGTAAATACGGTAAATTATTATTTCTGGATTGCATTCTTGGGCCCCAATCCAAAGCCCACTGAAGCTGAGAGAAAGGCTCCTAGGTTGCAAAAAAAATCAAACATTATTGAGAAACAGGCCTGTTATCTGCCAACACTCATTAGGGAGGAGTTTGTGTTCCAGCAAGGGTTAAAGACTCAGGCCCCAGCTCAGCAAAATGTTAAGTACATGCTTAACTTTTAGGTTACGCTCAAATCCCAAGTGGATCTAAAGCACATGGTTTAATTGCTCTGCTGAATCAAAGCAAGCACAGATTTCTATCTGAGTTTAACTGCTGTGTAATCTGGAACTCGGCGTGGCTGATGCCACCAGGAACCTTCCTGAAGAGCTTCAGAACCTTCTTATGCTGGATCCAGCCAGCCACAAAAAAAAAAACCCATAAGGAATAATCACGACAGCTACAACTGTTTTCCAAGTCATGGGAAGAAAAAACAATTTGTTCTGTATCAGTTTAGTTCTCGGCCTCCATCTGTTTTCCTTTCCCATTTACTTCTTTATTGATCACTGCTCTTTCAATTTTCCCATCCTGCTGCTCCAGGAGCTCGGTGGGTAAATCCTCCCACCTCAGGAGCAGCAAAAACTCCTTATTTGGGTGGCACAGCAAAGCCAAGGGTCTGAGATCTCCGTGCCTTCTGATGCCAATTATCCCATGTTGGAACGAGACGACCTCAAAGGTCTTTTCTGTTAAAATCTTAGAGATTTAACAGTTCTTCTGCAGGAAAAGCAGTAATTCAGATGCTGCTCGTGGCCTGTTCCCCCCACCTTTGTCTTACCTTTGCTGTCTTGCACCAAGGTGGGAGAATATCCTCGTGGCTGAAGGAGCTGTCTTCACCTCCCTGACTCGGTGTGATACATCCGCTTTCTCTCTCGTTTCACTCTCCCCACACCTGAAATTCAAAGGCAACTTCACAACCTTTCATCCTCTCAACGCTTTTTGTCAGGTGAAGAAAACAATTAGTCCTGTTCCTGAGCTGAGGAACTAAAAGTCTGGCAAGTTTAACTATGGACAAACCAGCTGCTGCTCAAGTTACTGTGCAAGTATCAACAGGCTGTTCTGCTCCAGCATAGTGGCCTTTCTTTTTTTAATGGTCTTTTTAAAATATATATTTCAAACCTCCCAATCCTAATTGCAGAAACTTTCAGCAGTTTCCCTGGGGTCACACCAAAGTCTGTGGGAAAGCAGTGACAACCACTTGGTCATAAATCCATCAATGCCAAAGTTTGCACCTCAACATTCAACCATCCAGCTCTACCACGTCCTTTGGGTTTAAACTACTGCCAGCAAGGCCTGCTCAGAAGGACAGGCACGTGTTCTGTAGCTCAGGAGTTCCCAAAATCCTTGTTTGTCTCCCTACAGTGCTCTCAGAGTCATTTTAAGGTTTTTCTCCCTGACACCTTGTAAGTAAACACCAAAAGCACGAAGAGCTGCAAATAAACCTTAAATAAACTTTCCACTTCACCCGTGAGCCCCAAGATTTCATCACAGGCTCCTTGCTCAGGCTCTCCTGTGCCCCTGCAAACACACAGAGCTGAGAGCACACACAGTGCCACAATCCCTCACAATCCTGGGATGGCCATGGCTGCTGCTCCTTTGGGGAATCTCCAGAGAAACCCTCCAGAGCTGCACAGGGATTCGTGAACGTCATCAGGAACGGGGGAAGATTTTGCAGGGCAGAACTCATACATATTAAAACCAGAGAGACAACTCTGATACAGGTGCTGGAGGTCTTTCAAGGTTACCATATGCCACTGGATTAATCCCAACAGTCTTAAGGTAGAGGTGAGAAACCTTCAAATTATTTGATTAACTTCAAAAGGGAAGACTTTTTACGCCTCTACCTTTTGGCACCCCACCTCTGCTCCCAAGCCAAGAAGAACTAGAAACCTCATAAGAAAGCCAGCTCCAAACCTCTGACCAGCAGATTCCAAACGTGTTGCAATCTTGGCTTGTAGTCAGCCAATTTTGGGAAGGGAAAATCTGTGCCAGTGCTACAAAAATCGCCTGTCAGGAGCCTCTTCATTGAAAAGAGTATTTTTTTTTTTATTATTTCCTTTTAAGTGGAAATTGGGACAGCCGTGGAGAAATATCAAAGCTGCATTTTGCACCACTGAAAACTCCTGACAAACAGGCCAATTCCCTCCCAGTTTCTCATCTGCTCAAACAGCCTCTCACAAACACATCGTGGCTGTCAGTGGTCACCCACAGAGAATGATTTGCACCCGCCCACTGTGGCTGACCAGAACTCAGGATTTGCCATGAGCCTGCAGAGTCATATCCCAAGTATTCCCAGTGAATTTCCCTTCTCCCTTTCTGCCCAAGGGACAGTGAAGCAGAAGTTCTGTTGGCTGCTGGAGTCTCCTTCCTGCTGGGACTCATCCTGGAGGGAGCATCCCGGGGCAGGGCAAATCCTCTGCCCGGGGCAGAGCCTCAAACCCCAGGAAGCCACAGTCAGACCCAATTCTCCCTCCGAGTATTCCCACAGAACTGGGAGCCTGGAAGTCCCAACCATTGGATTAAAGCTCCTCCTGGAAGTTTCTCTCTGTTGTGGAGCAATCAGGGACTATAAGGGCTCTAAATCCCCACTGTATCCCACAGCACCTTTGAGCTGGGAAGGCTGAAAGGAGCAGCAATGCCACTGCAGTTCAATCTGTTCCCAAAGCTCTGCTACCAAACCACTGCTTAACCTTCCAGAGGTTTTCAGTCAGAAAATGGAGCAGGGAACAACAGGCATTCCTCTTTTCCAGGAACAGGAGATAATACACCATCCCTGAAGGTGCGAGAAGCTCACACCAATAAATCAGGGCAATTAAACACGGAGCTTTGCGTAGGTACCTGGTTTATATCCCATAATCCCACTCCAAAGGGAGCTTTCCTGCTGCCACTCCCTAGCAACCCAAGCAGCTTGTTTTATGACTCCCCCAGTGCCTTCAGGTGGGGAGGGCTGAGCAAGGTGTTGTGTGGGCCACGGGGAGATGAACAGTTGGGCTCGGTAGCTGAGGGGCTGCAGGTGAAATCAGGGCACAGACACACCCCAGGGAGGATCCGTTCCCCCCTCCGTGTGGGCAGGAATCCACAGCACGGGGCAGACGGGCACAATTGAAGTAGTTTCCAACCTGAGTGGCTGCCTCGTGCTCCCAGGGAGTGATGCAATGTAACAGGCTGGTTTCCAGTTTCAAAAAAACTGGGAAAGAACCTTCACTGGTCTATTTTAAATTCAGCTGTCTATAGTGTAAATAATGTTCCACCTGAATGTGCATTTTAATTCTAATGGCAGCTCATCAATCTGTTTAGATGGTAATTCTCACACTTTGTTCTATGAAGCAATAGCCTGTGTTATAAATGGATTATTTTTATGTAGCAGAGCATTTTTTCCTAGTGAATAAAACCCTGTCCACACACACACACACCAGGTAAATCAGAAGTCTACAAAGGGCTAAGCCAGAAATTGTAATTATTTAATTACTGGTGCACAACCTGCGGGTCCTTGGAAATAAATTCTTTCTTTACAGGAAAGTATGAAGAGCATGAAAATGAGGGGATTACTGGACAGAACAAAGATTTCTAAACAAGGAGAACTGCACACTGCCTGGAAATTTAGGAGCTTGGCAGAGCTCCTTCCCAACCCACCCTCCCCAGCTGCTCCTCCCAGGCCAGTTCTCCAGCGCCAATCACAAGAAACTGCTGCTCAAGGAACTGCTCAGGGAAGAAAATACTGGGCTGATACCATGTCCTGGTACTGTTTTGGCCACCAAATGAGGCTGTTCTAAGTGCTCTCCTGGTCTCACCAAGAATAGCTTTTAAATTTCCCCAGGAAACCTTTCTACCCACACGCAGACAAGTTGTCACACAGGCTGGTGTGTCAGGCAATGAACAGGGCAGTTATTTGCAGGTGTTTTATGGACTCCAAGCTCTTCCCACAGAAGCACAGGGACCATCCACCTCTGGCAGGATGCTGTGTGAAACCCCTGCACTGGGACAACCAGGCTCTAACTCACAGTTTCCCTCCGTTCCGTGCTTGGCTCCCGTCGAGCCTGCTGGCCCCGGATCTGTGCCAGCTGGGTAGGAAACCGCTCTGTGCTCCTCTCGTGCCAGCTCTGAGGTGTTGCAGACTTACTCATCCTCATACCATCAAGCTGACACGTTCTTGATTTGCCCAGACTAGAGCTGGCATGGCTTGGGGAAAGACATGGTCAGCTCCAGTTGACTCATTCCCGGTGGTTGTGCAGTCAACAGAACTGACACACAGACATCCCACACGGAGCTTAAACTTTGCTTTACCTCTGCTGGAACAAAAGTGCTGCCTCATCCCTGGAATTGTGTACACTGCAGTCATCCTCTCACATTTCTGAAGTGCTGGGTTTCTTATGTCACATATTTCAGCAGATATCCTGTTGTGGGAGACTCATTTTCCTCCAGTGTCCTGGACCCTCAACAAGTGCCTGCATACAAAATATTTCCTGACTCCACTCTGCATTACTGGAAGGGGCTGCCCAGGGAGGTGGTGGAGTCACCACTCCTGGAGGTGTTTGAGGAAAGACTGGACATGGCACTCAGTGCCAAGGTGGTGTTCAGTCACAGGTTGGACTCGATCTCAAAGACCTCCAACCTAATTGATTCTGTGATCACCTCTGGGCCCTCCCCATCCTCAAGTACAGGTCTCTCAAGCTTCCTCCTCCATTTCATTCATCACAGAAGTGTTGTGCCCCTTCAGGATCCCCATGGACACATTAGCCAAGGACACTCCCTTTAGCTATCCAAACTTCAGTGGACACTTCAAGGTCCTTCGGTCCTTTTGGCAGTGCCAGTCTAATGCCAGTTGTGTCTTCCACACAGTACCAGAAAAAGAACCTGACCTCACAGAAAGGTGGGACAGATGCCAGCAGTCATTTTAACTCTTCAGGGAGCACCCTCAGTGCCAGTTTTTCTGTATTTCTCAACAGCCAATTCCTGAACAAGCAAGCATGTGCAGATATCTCCCCAAAGTGGAAGCAAATGCCCAAACCACCCTCATGCATCCACCTGAGAGAGCAGAAAAGCCTCACTGGTGACGAGGAGAAGCTGGAGCCAATGCTGACCCAGCAAGATCAATTCAACATCTGAAGAATTTCAATGTTAGTGCTCAGGAATACCAACTAAAATTAACAGAGGAGAGAAAGGCTTTTTCTGTGTGGCTTGCAAAACTTCGTGGTGGTGAATTTATATGCAATGCACATCTACTTACAGTGAAAGCAGTGTCACTGTTTCCTAGAACCAGAGGGTGCACCTTGCAAACCCTGTTATAATGAAGCATCCAGTAAGTGAAAGCTGTGGCCCCAGTCTGACACAGCTTCACCAACCCTAACTGAGGCTAAAACCTCACAGCTCCACGAGAGAGAGTTTCAGTGTGATCCATATCACCAAAGACGCTTTTTCTTTTCAAACTGATATAAAATCACAGCACAAACACCTTTGTGCACCTTGCTTATGACAGTCTCCATTCAAAAGAAATTAAGACTAGCAAAGCAAACACAATCCCACCCTATAAAGCATTAGGCCACAGGATTTACGTGCTTCCCAGTATCCTGAAGCTGCAGCCCAGCTGTGCTTCAGGCACTCTGTGCTTGGGCAAGATGTGGGGCAGAAAACAAAGCTGAGGACACGAGAAAGACCAAGATGTTTCTACAGGTGTGCTCTTTGGGACCATTCTTTGTGGACCTGGCTAAGCCACACCTTTACAGTTCTGGAGCTGTTAAGTGCCTCAGACTTTGTGAGGATCTGTGTGGGTGCAGTAAAGGCAGGATCACAGTTAAACTCATAACACACTGCCAGAATTCCCTGCCACGGGAAGAGCATGTGAAGTGCAAAGAAGAGGTACCTCTAATGTTTCCTGCATCCAGTTTCCTGGAA